TGGAGAACGGCGCGCCCGGCCGCCTTTGTCTCTCCCGGCCGCCTTTGTCTCTCCATTGCTGAGGTTGACGCACTGGCCGAGTCGAGCTGGGGTCGTCGGTTTAGCGAGCGCTGCGCTACCAACCCGGGGAGACCCCCCACCCCCGCCCCGTTCGATTCACGACCAACACCGAGCGACGGTTACCCCGAACCGGTTCGGGGGCCCTCCCCTAGGTAGACTCGACCTTAAATGAGTAGCTTGTTTCGACATTCATTGCCTCGTCAGCAGAGCCAGGCCTGGCTTGAGTCGACGCCGGTGAACTGGCCAGATGTGTCTAGGCCAGAGGACTGGATTCGACATTCGTTGTGCCGAGTCGTAACACATCAGCACTGGGGAGACAAAGGCGGCTGGGCGTGGTCGTTTGGATTCTTCTCCGAGTCCTCTGGGTGTTCCCAGAGTGTTTGGCTGCTTTACGTGATAACCCACAGGTCAGGCCCCAACTGAGCTGTTTAGCCCAGTGGGGCCTTAGCTGGTCAAATAAACAGAAACAGTTTAGAGATGGTGATGATGGTTATAAACGGTATCACTGCTGCTGCTGATGATGATGATAACGATAGCGATGATATGTGTGCTGATAATGATGATGACCATGCCGAATGTGCTGATGACAATGATGATGATGACCATGGTGAATGTGCTGATGACGATGATGACCATGATGACCATGGTGAATGTGCTGATGACGATGATGATGACCATGGTGAATGTGCTGATGACGATGATGATGATGACCATGGTGAATGTGCTGATGACGATGATGACCATGATGACCATGGTGAATGTGCTGATGACGATGATGATGACCATGGTGAATGTGCTGATGACGATGATGATGATGACCATGGTGAATGTGCTGATGACGATGATGACCATGATGACCATGGTGAATGTGCTGATGACGATGATGATGACCATGGTGAATGTGCTGATGATGATGATGATGATGACCATGGTGAATGTGCTGATGACGATGATGACCATGATAACCATGGTGAATGTGCTGATGATGATGATGATGACCATGGTGAATGTGCTGATGACGATGATGATAACCATGGTGAATGTGCTGATGACGATGATGACCATGGTGAATGTGCCGATGATGACCATGGTGAATGTGCTGATGATGATGATGACCATGGTGAATGTGCTGATGACAATGATGATGATGACCATGGTGAATGTGCTGATGACGATGATGATAACCATGGTGAATGTGCTGATGATGATGATGATGACCATGGTGAATGTGCTGATGATGATGACCATGGTGAATGTGCTGATGACAATGATGATGATGACCATGGTGAATGTGCTGATGACGATGATGATGATGACCATGGTGAATGTGATGATGATGATGATGACCATGGTGAATGTGCTGATGACAATGATGATGATGGCCATGGTGAATGTGCTGATGATGATGATGACCATGGTGAATGTGCTGATGACGATGATGATGATGACCATGGTGAATGTGCTGATGACAATGATGATGATGACCATGGTGAATGTGCTGATGACGATGATGATGACCATGGTGAATGTGATGATGATGATGATGACCATGGTGAATGTGCTGATGACAATGATGATGATGGCCATGGTGAATGTGCTGATGATGATGATGACCATGGTGAATGTGCTGATGACGATGATGATGATGACCATGGTGAATGTGCTGATGACAATGATGATGATGGCCATGGTGAATGTGCTGATGACGATGATGATGACCATGGTGAATGTGCTGATGATGATGATGATGATGGCCATGGTGAATGTGCTGATGATGATGATGGCCATGGTGAATGTGCTGATGACAATGATGATGATGGCCATGGTGAATGTGATGATGATGATGATGACCATGGTGAATGTGCTGATGACGATGATGATGATGACCATGGTGAATGTGCTGATGATGATGATGATGACCATGGTGAATGTGCTGATGATGATGATGATGATGGCCATGGTGAATGTGCTGATGATGATGATGATGATGGCCATGGTGAATGTGCTGATGATGATGATGATGGCCATGGTGAATGTGCTGATGACGATGATGATGATGACCATGGTGAATGTGCTGATGACGATGATGATGATGACCATGGTGAATGTGCTGATGACAATGATGATGACCATGGTGAATGTGCTGATGATGATGATGACCATGGTGAATGTGCTGATGATGATGGCCATGGTGAATGTGCTGATGACAATGATGATGATGGCCATGGTGAATGTGATGATGATGATGATGACCATGGTGAATGTGCTGATGACGATGATGATGATGACCATGGTGAATGTGCTGATGATGATGATGATGACCATGGTGAATGTGCTGATGATGATGATGATGATGGCCATGGTGAATGTGCTGATGATGATGATGATGATGGCCATGGTGAATGTGCTGATGATGATGATGATGGCCATGGTGAATGTGCTGATGACGATGATGATGATGACCATGGTGAATGTGCTGATGACGATGATGATGATGACCATGGTGAATGTGCTGATGACAATGATGATGACCATGGTGAATGTGCTGATGATGATGATGACCATGGTGAATGTGCTGATGATGATGATGATGGCCATGGTGAATGTGCTGATGATGATGATGACCATGGTGAATGTGCTGATGATGATGATGATGGCCATGGTGAATGTGCTGATGACAATGATGATGATGACCATGGTGAATGTGATGATGATGATGACCATGGTGAATGTGCTGATGATGATGATGGCCATGGTGAATGTGCTGCTGATGATGATGATGATGGCCATGGTGAATGTGCTGATGATGATGATGGCCATGGTGAATGTGCTGATGATGATGATGATGATGGCCATGGTGAATGTGCTGATGATGACCATGATGACCATGGTGAATGTGCTGATGATGATGAAGCTGCAGCAGCAGAAGCGGCGGTGTCAGTGAAGCGAGGAGAGGAGCCGTCTTTGTTACCCCCACGGGAACTCGCACGTTCACACCTCGCCTCCCCCCCTCTCTGCCCCCCTCTCTCTTCCCTCCCCCCCTCTCCCTTCTCCCTGCCTCTCTCTCTCTCTCCCTGTACCCCCCCCTCACTATCATCTGATTCCTTCTCACGCGTCCACACATCCTCCCCTCATCCCTCTCTTGTCTCTCCCATTCCCCTTCCTCCACCTTCTGGCCATCTCTATCCCCCAGCCTCTCCCCCTTCTCTCTCTCCGACTCTGCCGGTCTTCTCTCCGTCCCTGATTCCGACCCCTCTCCCTTCATCTCTCTCCCTTCTTCCCCGTGTCTCTCTCTCTCTCTCTGCTCTGTCGCTTTACAGTGTTGACTCTCTCTCTTGACACCCCCTCCACCTCGTCTCACATCGCGGTGAACTCTGCCATCGCCTCATCAGCACGGAGGGTGCCTTCTCTGTGCCCTCTCTCTCTCTCTGTTTACGACCAGAGGAAACAAGAAGACGCTCGGTGTAGTCGGCACTTGGCTTCGTTCATCGTTTAGTTTTTTTGTGTTTTTTATGCTTTGCTTTATGTAACCCCCCCCCTCCCTTTTAAAATGAAAGATTTCACAATAGATGTCACGCTCTGCTCTCCTTACCCCTTCCCCCTCTCTCTAACCCCTCCACTCTCTACCCCCTCTCTCCCGACTCCATGTCTATGTTCCCCCTATGTTTTGTATGTAATATTTGTAATATTATGATAATTATGATAATTCTTCCCGTTCTCCGTGGCCTTCATCAACCTCATCCACGTTCCACTGTCTCTCCCTCCCCTCCATCCCCTCTCCTCGCTTTCCTTTCTCAAGTCTCTCTCCCCCTTCCCACTCTCCACCCCGCTAGGTCTCTCACAGAATCTCTCCCGACCATCTCCCCCATCTCTTTCCTTTCTGCATCTTCCTCCTGTTCTCTCTGTAGCCTCGCTCCATCTCTCTTCCCTCGCCTCACTCTCCCCCTCGGGCCCTCTCTCTCCCTCCTCTCTCCATCTCTATCTCCCCTCGCTCTACCCCCTCTTCCCCCCCCCCCTCTCTCTCTCCACACTCTCATGCTGTCCCCTCACATCGATCCATCCCTCTCCCCTCTCCCTCCATCCCTCTCTCATCTCTCCCCCCGTCCGCCTCTCTTCACAGTGAGCCCCCCCCCCCTCTCCGGCGCTCTTTCCCTGACATTGTTATCGCTCATCTGCGTTCTGCTCCTTATAGTTTAGTGGGGGGGGGGGGGGGGGTAATGAGGTTGTGGGGGGCCGAGGGGAGGGGGGTAAATGCCAGCCCCGGAACATGGATAACACAAATCCATTCACCGTGGCTTCTCCAGTGACAGTTTTTCATGAAACTACCCGGATGAATGAACAGATGCGAGGATATGAACTCGTGGCTGAGAACGTTTGTGAATGAATGAATGATACAAGTAAAAATGCCCGTAATATTAAATCATATTTCGCTTAAACCTTAACTGCATTCCACTTTGTGAGAATTGGACGCATCGGTTTTAATTTGTCACGTGACGAACACGCATCCACCCACTCACCATCACCACTATTATCACTATCAACAACAACCGCCTTTCGCCACCGAGTGGCGGTGACGTCACCACGGCGCTTGTGCCAGGCTAGGTGCACTTTAAGGCCACGTGAAGTGTCGAACGTCCGCTGGCAGCAGGTCACTGAGCAGACCAAGGTGGTGCCATGGGTTGACTGACTGAGATGACTGGCCGGTGCTCCACCCATCACCATCACCACCACGATCGCCTTCTCTGTCTGTGCCACGCAGAATGTCCCGGCTAGGTGACGAGGCATCGCCACTCTCCTCCGACTTGGCCAACCGCGGCGGGGCCGGCATCCAGCAGCAGCAAACAATGGTGGGGTCGGGTCCGGCTGCTGCTGGCGGTGGTGGGATGGGCGGGATAGGCGGTGGCGCCGGCGGCGGTGGCGCTGGCAACCGAGGAGGAGGTGGCGGAGGTGGTGGAGGGGGAGCGGGAGGGCCGGGTGGGCCTGGGCAGAGGGCCTACAAGCAGACAATGGCCCAGAGGGCCCGCTCGATGGCCCTCTACAATCCGATGCCAGCTAGGAGAGGGTGCCTCGATCCCAACCGATCGCTCTTCATTCTGGGAGAAGACAACCCGTTCAGGAAACTCGCCAAGCGCATCACCGAGTGGCCATATCCTTACTCGTGCTATCGGCGGCCGTGGGGAGGAGGGGGGGGAGCTTTATTAATGTTTCGACATTTAAAGTCAAATATTCATAACTAGAGGAGTCCCTATAAAGGCCAAGACTGGCTTGAATCAATGCTGGTGAACTGCCCAAATGTGTAGAGGCCAGGGCTGGTTTCGACTATCAGTGTCTCATCAGCAGAGTCAGGCTTGGCAGGAATCAATGCTGGTGAACTACCCAAGTGTGTAAATGCAAACACTGTATTCGACATTCAGTGTGTCATCAGCAAAGTAATACTTTAAGGATAACGCCAATAGTTGCCTTTCCACTCTGATGAGAGCATTTACATTAACGCATCCGTTTTTGATTGCTTACAAAAAAATTAATAGTGTCAAAGTAACGGTGATAATTACCCGGATGAGACAAGGGTGCGAATTACATTCAGTTTATAAAGATCTGTGCGTGCGAGTGAAGACATATGCGTGATTACGTGGTTGTTAAAGGCGTGCAAGCGATTAGCGCGCCGCATCTCGAACCCCGGGTTTGATTCGCGCTCAGAACCAATAACAGTGGCAGCGAACACTCAATCCCGTACAGAGAGAACAGCAAGACTCCACACTCTGCTCTCTACCGCCTGCTGACTGGCAGAGCCAAGGGGTACGGCTCCTCCTCTAACCCCCCCCCCGCCTGCCCCACGATGATCGATCGGCGACCTCTTGACCCCACGAGGGAAGCGGCTGGAGGGCGTCGTGTGCCCCAATTTAATTGCTGGGTATCAGCATCCTGTCTATGCCCGTCTGTCTCTGTCTGTAGCTGAGCAAGCATTTGTCTGTCTGTCTGTGTCTGAGCAAGTATTTGTCTGTCTGTCTGTGTCTGAGCAAGTATTTGTCTGTCTGTGTCTGAGCACGCATTTGTCTGTCTGTCTCTGTCTGTATCTGAGCACGCATTGAGCACGCATTGAGCATGCATTTGTCTGTCTGTCTGTGTCTGAGCAAGTATTTGTCTGTCTGTCTGTGTCTTAGCAAGTATTTGTCTGTCTGGTGGTACCTGTCGGGAGGAGCGGTGGCGTGGCGGTTAGCGCGCTGAGCTACGGCGACCCGAGTTAGATTCCCGTTCACAGCAGTGACGATTATCTGAACCGGTCCTAGGGTTCCCACTAGGTCGGCTCAGCCTTAAATGGAGTACTTGGTGTAGCCGTGCCGGCCTTCATAAGTGCTACTCGCGAACAGCACCTGCCTCAAAAGTCCGTTTAGGCTATATGGGGATCTTTGTCTTTGTCTGTAAGTAGGTCTATGTAAATATATGGCAGTCTATCTATTTGTGTGTCTGTCAGAGTAACTGTTTGTGTCTGTCTCTCTGCTGGTCTGTCTGCCTGCCTGATGTGTACGGGGTTGTCCCTCTGTTTGTCTGTCTGTCTGTGTGTCTATCTAGCCCGAGCTATTAATGCTTCGGTGTTTGCATTGTCCTTGTACTGTTCGCCTTTAGCGTCTAGCGCCGGCGAGACAAAGCCACGAATGAGGTGTCTATTTGGAATTTGAACATCTTAACACGTTCTGTGTTCATGCCAGAAAGGATAAAGCCTATTTTTTAAAATCCATAATTCAATATCTTTATACTGGCGAAAGGGTCCCACAGATAAACGTATTTCTGTCGATTTAAATATTCTTCTGCCTTCTGGTCTCTGTCTAAGTCTCAGATTGTCTGTCTGGATGATGCGCTGACTGTCTGTCTGTCACCAACCCTGCCAGCCAGACACCCTCAACCAACAAGGGGGTGTTAACTCCCTCGCCTGGTATTCATGTCACGGATTCGATCTCGACCCTGACACCTGGATATTTCGAGTTTTGCATGTTCTCTCTGGGTCCTCCGATTGGTTGGTGGATACGTCCTCTCATTCTCTGCCCTTGACTCGTCCGTCGTTCCGGGGATCACGCCCTTCGAGTGGATGATCCTGACGACGATTATCGCCAACTGCATCGTGCTGGCGCTGGAGCAGCATCTTCCCGACGAGGACAAGACGCCGCTGTCCAAGAAGCTGGTAAGGGACCTCGCGTGGGCCCACACGTCGGCACACCGCACGCCGTGCGTGCGCGGACACGGGACCCAAAGGCACGCAACGACAAAGGTCGCATGTTGTAGCCTGTAAGCGACTGTTAGAAGCAAGTGCCGTTGAGTGAGCAGCACCTATGAAGGCCGGCACGGCGCGCCAGGTGGTGGTTGGCCAGCGCCATACCCGGCCGCCTTTGTCTGGCGACGTTTACACATCGCGCCCGGTACTCGTTTGAGGCGGAGTCGACCTGAGGGAGGCCCAGGACCGGTTCACATAATCGTCACCGGTGTTGGCTGTGAGCGGGAATCGAACTTCGGTCGCCGGGTACGTAGCGCAGTGGCATGCACGTGAACACACACGGACACGCACGTGAACACACACATGCACACACACATGCACACACACATGCACACACGGCCACACACATGAACACACACGCGGACACGTACACACAGGCACACACACATGCGGACACGTACACACACGTACACACAGGCACGCACACACACACGTGAATACACACGCGGACACACACACGCACACACACGCGGACACACACACGTACACACACGTACAACAGCAACCGCCATTCGCCACTAAGTGTCGGTGACGTCACCACGACGCTTGTGCCAGGCCATGTGCACCTTGAGGCCACGTGAAGTGTCGAATGCCCGCTGGCTACACACAGGCACGCACACACACACACGAACACACACACGCACATGTACCCACAGGCACACACAGACACACGAACACACACACAGGCACGCACACACACACGCGGACACACAGGCACACACACATGTACACACAGGCACGCACACACACACGCGGACACACACACGCGCGCGCTCGTGTCGTCGCCGCTGGAACGGAGTTGCGCGCCGTTCTTGCTCCACCGCTCCGGACCCCGCGATCTCGGAGCAATCTCGGAGCGAGCGTGAGCGGCGACTCGGCCTCGGCAATAGAAAATTTGCATGATTCATGCGGAGGCCGTTTTCACCGCCGCTGCCCTCTCTGCCTCCCCTCCGCGCGGTTCTGTCACTCATAGATCCTTCCCCCCCCCCCGCATCCTGCCACCACCCCCCCCCCCCGCCCGCTGGCAACCCAAAAAAATGAACAAAACAATCCGCACACAGCCACCGGCACGCTCCATTTAACAGCCACCGCCAGAAACCGCGAGATTTCATTGCTTCTTTTTTGTGTTCGTTGCCCTCCTGTCTGCCCGTCCGTCCACCCGTTCGCCCGTCCGTGCAAGCACGGCTGTTGCGCAATCGTCAGCGTTGGCTGTTGCGCAATCGTCAGCGATGCAACACGCGCGGCAAGAGGCTGGCGACCGCTTGTCTCTCGTGACTGTCGGAGGTGACGCGGCCTGTTGCCGCAAAGTGCTCCCACGAATCCACCACTCCCTCCCCCACTGACCTCCCCCCTCCGCCGCTGAACCTGCCCACCCCCATAGCCAAAACAACGCTCCCCGCTGCCCAAACCAACCCAGCCTCGTGTCACGGGGGGGGGGGGGGGGGCACAGTGGTTAGGAAGTGGTGGGGCCTTATCGGGAAGGGGTCTAAGGAGCAAGTGGGCGGGGCCTAAACAGGAAATGGTGGGGCCTAAAGAGGAAGGGGCGAGGCCTAGACAGGAAGGGGCGGGTCCTAAACAGGAAGTAGTGGGGCCTAAAGAGGAAGTGGTGGGGCCTAAGCAGGTTCAACTTCCTGCTGTTGAATTAAAGCAACACAAGCAGCAGCATCAGAGGTTTCGTGCTACAGACAGGGCAACAGGCCGACTCGTATAATCGATTTGCATCTTTGAATAAATGACGAGTGAAATTAATAAAATAGCGAGTACAAATTGTACTAATTAGCTAATAAATATTTTCAGTACAAATTATGAATTTAACAAAAATACACCTTTAATGCAGTTGTTGACCTTTACTGCAGGCGTGCACTATAATGTTAATAAATACACAGGGTTTGATGAAACAAAGTCAGCTGTAATTTAACGTGCCCGTGCTTCATTGGTGTTTTTGATTATTTACCTTCTAAACAAATCTGGCCATGGCTCGCTCCCCGTAGAAAGGGCATCTCGCACCCCCAGGGAGTGCGTGCACCCCAGGTTATGCTGAACCACTGCCTTAATGAACACGTAAGTACATTATTTATCAATAACACAGAATCTGGAGACTATCTGAATCGGATCGAGCCTCCCGTACGCCACGTGGTGTCTGCGTGGCCACCCCCACTCTAAATCCCTCCCCTCGCATCTCTGTCTGCATCTAGACGGCTCACAGGTACAACCGTTTGTTTTGTATTGGGTGCAATTGTGAACAACATTAGTACATCTGATCAGCATAATAATTGGGTTCACTGCAGCTCAAAGACACTACAAGGCGTGTGGTGACGTTAGGAGATACCCCGTGTGTGCGTGCGCTGGGCATTCGAAGGCCTGAAGACCAGAATCGGTGATTTTGCTGACATCAGGGAGGCGGTTTTCATATCCGGACTGGAGAGTGAAGAAGAAGAATAAGAAGCGAGATCCTGTCCATAGAGATCCTCTCCCAGGGAGCTCCTGTCCAGGGAGCTCCTGTCCCAGGGAGCTCCTGGCCAGGGACCAATATTCTGGCAACTGAGGGGGGGGGGGGCAAGGCTTGGCAGGGGTCGTGCATAATCTTGTGACACGGCATCTTGCACACGGGGTCTGGTAGCATGGCCTGAAGGTCTGTCGGCGGCGGGGTAGTTGGTGTCCATTTTGTACCAGGCGCTGTGACAGCAGTTGCTCGATGTTACCATTAAAGTTGGCCAAGTCACTTCAGAAAGAGGGCAACGTAGCTCAGTGGGGCCTTACATCTGGTGAAGTAAAAGTAGTTTAGTTTTAGACTGAGATACTACCACCCTTGAGGATCACGATGATGAGGGTGGCAATGATGATGACTACGATGATGATGTCTACGATGATGATGGCAAATATAATGGCAACGATGGTGATGTGACTTTCACTCTCTCGCTCTCTCCGTATGTTTGTGTGTAAGTTGATCTTCTTTCGCATCACACGTAGCCAACCGTGCTAATCGGAGGTGCAGTGTTGAGTCTATGGGCAGTGTTGAGTCTATGGGCGGTGTTGAGTCTATGGGCGGTGTTGAGTCTATGGGCAGTGTTGAGTCTATGGGTAGTGTTAGTCTGTGGGCAGTGTTGAGTCTATGGGTAGTGTTAGTCTATGGACAGTGTTGAGTCTATGGGCAGTGTTGAGTCTATGGGCAGTGTTGAGTCGATGGGCAGTGTTGAGTCGATGGGCAGTGTTGAGTCGATGGGCAGTGTTGAGTCGATGGGCAGTGTTGAGTCTATGGGCAGTGTTGAGTCTATGGGTAGTGTTAGTCTGTGGGCAGTATGTATGTATACGTATGTTGAACTTCTTTCGCACCGTACGTAGCCAACCGTGCTAATCGGAGGTGCAATTAGCACAGTGACAATGATGACGATGACAACGATGGTGATGTGACTGACTTTCTCTCGCTCTGTCTATCCCTCCCCCTCCCTCCATCTCCCACGGCGTCTGCAGGAGGAGACAGAGCCATACTTCATCGCCATCTTCTGCTTCGAGGCGGGCATCAAGATCCTGGCGCTGGGCTTCCTACTGCACAAGGGCTCTTACCTGCGCAACGGATGGAACGTGATGGACTTCGTGGTCGTCGTTACCGGGTAGGGGATGCGTTGGGGCCAGGGAAAGAAAAAAAGACTAACAACCCGGCAGTGTTCCCACGGCAACCTGGCTGTTGTGGTGGGGGTCTGTGTTGTGGTGGGGGTCTGTGTTATGGTGAGGGTCTGTGTTGTGGTGGGGGTCTGTGTTGTGGTGGGGGTCTGTGTTGTGGTGGGGGTCTGTGTTGGGGTTGGTAATCCTACTGGAGTTGACATGGAGTCCTGGTTGTGAATGTGTTTGATGTTGGAATGGGTCGAGGTCGATCCTGCGTTGTGGCCGCCCCCTCAACACTGCATCTCCGATGAGCACGATTGTCTATGTACGGTGCGAAAAAAGTTCAATGTAGTACGTGCATGCACGCAAGGAGAGCTGAACCTTTGTTAAACAGCTGATGGTGGTGTCGTATTCAGTCCAACGAAACGTCGTTTTATTTACTAGAGTCCAAAATGTTGCTTGGATTTTTAGACATGACTCCTCCTCCAGGTTGTTTGCTGATGAGCCAAAATCAATCGGCATATTCGCCCACGGCGTTCCAACTCGATGTTAATGATCTCTGCCGCTGGGTGGTAGAGGGCTTTTCGTGCCAACAACAACAAAATAGTGATGACATTATACCCATACGTCGATCTCACCAAAACCGAAACTCATTATGAATCGTGAAGTGTATATATATTATCCACAGTAGATTTTTCTTGGGTTTGATTGCTTAAATATAAATGTGTCGTTAAACCCGCCACTGTCAGATACAGCCGATTAAGTGAGAGTTTGTCACGTGAACAAAACGTGACTAGTTCAGCACCTACCGGTTGTGTGTTGGAGGGGGGGGGGGTTAATGTATGCATATGAATTATAATGGATATCCATTACCGGTTGGGTTATTCGTAGGGTGATCAGCGTACATGTTTCTTGTCGTGGCAGCCCAAGTATGAACTCGGGTCGTGTGCTGTGCACATCGGCTTAGCCACGCAGGGACAGCTGCCGCTCGGCAGGAGGGGGGGGTTTGGGTTGCCACTCGGGGGGGGGGGGGGGGGGGGGTTTGGGTTGCGACTCCGCCACGCGATCTCAGCATCCCGTGGGCATCCTCGTTGAGTTCTGCCATCGCGTGCCGCGGGCATCGCGGTACACATTTGACATTTGAATCTGAATATGTTTGTTTGCGCTGGAAGAATCCGATGAGCCGTGAAGCACTCTGTTTTGGCACAGATGTCCGGTAGCGCTAAGCATCTCCCGGTGCCGCGCGCGAGAGAGGGATCAGGGGTCAGGGGTCACGTACAGTGTGGCAGTGACCTTGCCGGGCCGCCGAGGTCGCGGGATTTCGTCTCCTCTCACCCGGAGAGAGAGAAGGGGGGCGGCTCACCGCTGGAGCTGCAGTCGATGGAGGGTTGCCAACTGTCCCGGACTTTGCCGGGTGACCTCTGCGGGAGTTGGCATCAATCTCCCCCCCCCACCCCTCTGCACCCCTCCCCCCCCGGTGACCCCCCGGTGACAATTGAAAGCAGTCGTCGAGATTTTAATAATCGGATAGATTTGAAAAAGTAATGAAAAATATTTCCCAGAATAGTTGGCCGCCCCGATGATGAATCCGAGCACGCGCACTCCGCTCTCAGCAGTCACGTGGGACTCCGCCGCGGTGCATCGGTTAGCACGCCGGCGTGGTGAAGTATGGTGATAAACAACTCCCACCCTTCCCCCATGTGACTGAGAAGCTGTGGGAGAAGCCGTCATCCAGCAGTTGATTTACACCGAGGCTGTGAGTCTGTGGGTAATTTTGATTACACATTGACTCAAACAGAAACCCACAGATGCGCATAAAGACCCACAGACTCACACAAAGGCCCACAGACTCGCACAGAGACTCACAGACTCGCACAGAGACCCACAGACTCGCACAGAGACCCACAGACACACAAGGAGACCCATAGACTCGCACAAAGACCCACAGACTCGCACAGAGACCCACAGACTCGCGCAGAGACCCACAGACTCGCACAGAGACCCACAGACTCACACAGAGACCCACAGACTGGCACAGAGACCGAGTTGTCATTAAACGGGGTCCTCTCTAGCGGAGTGAGTTGGCGATGGTCTCGGCGATGAATGACTCACAGCAGCAGCACTGCCTCTGCCATCTGCGCGTGCGGGCTACACGTGGGGACATCCTTGGTAGGTGGTGGGGTGGTGGTGGGGGGTGTGGTGTTGGTTGGGGCGTTGTGGGGAGGTGGTAGGGGGATTGTGATGGGGTGATGGGGGGGGGGGTGAGGGGGTGCGGGGGGGGAGGCGATCTGCGTCGCGTGCGCATGAGACAATGGAGGCCGCAATTCGCTTCATCGCCCGTCGAGGTTCGGCTGACTCAGTCGCTCTCTCACCGTTTCACTCTCTCACCGTTTCACTCTTTCACTCTGACACTCACTCCACTCTCACTCTCTCTCTCGCAAAATCAGCGTTCAGCGAGCTGGCAAGCACCAATGTGGCCCTATTAGGTGATTAGAACGATGTGGTCCGTCCCTTTGTCTCATGCTTCCACTTGCTTGCGATTTTAGTTTTGGGCCGTCCGTGTGTGTGTGGTTGTCCGTGTGTCTGTGTGTCTTTACGTCTGTCCGTTTGTCTGTCCGCCTGCCCGCCCGTGTGTCCGTCCGGATGTCCGTGTGCGTGTCCACCCTGCGTTGTCCGTCCGCTCCCTCGCTCGCCGGGAGGAGAGGCGGCTCGGCGCAGTGCGGACTAAAATCTCCTGTCCCTTCTGCGTGGGATAGACTCTTGAGCGACGATTTCCTCGTTGCGCGCGGTGGGTTTTCTGTGGCCACCCCGGTTTCCTCCCGCACATCGTAATATACAATAACAACAACAACCATTCTCATAGCCAGCAGTGCGCAACGCATGAAGAGCAGGAGACAATGACAGAACCAGGGGGCAACCGGCCGAACTCGAGAGGCAAGGCCACTTTAAAGAGATGGGGTTTCAAAGCGGACTTGAATCTACCGACTCCGATTGCCCTGATTTCAAGTGGCAAGGCGATCCGAGGTTTCGGCGCCACGCTAACAAAGGCCCGGTCACCAAAAGAGCGCGACCTGGGAGTGCCGAGCAGTCGGAGACCGGAAGATCTGAAGGACCTTGATGGGATATATACAGAGGACTGCAGAGCTTGGGGGAATGGCTGATGGTGCCGGCTTGCCGGCAGCATCAGCCTGCTGCTACTGCTGGTGATGGTGGCAGCAGCGGTGGTGATGGCTGTTCATGTCCGGCCCATTTGCCGACCGGCGCTTCTTCTTCCGAGACAAAACTGCCGCAGGGCATCATCACGTGGCATAACTTATTAACGCGTCCGTCGCCTCTTGTGCCGAACAAAGAGGCAAGGCCCGCAGGTGATGGCGACAGGTGGACAGGATGAGAGTCCTTTTGTTTATGAGGGGCGTCGTAACAATAGCGAGTTCGTCACGGCAACTGTTGTTGTGATTATGCACAGAGGTGGTGGCGGGCAGGGAGCGGTGGCGCAGCTGTTAAGGGCTTTGCGCTACGAGGCCGGCCTACGCAGGGTTTGATTCCCAGGTCCACGGCCAACGCCAGTCGTGAGTGATCTCAGCTGAAACTGCCCCGGCCATCACCTCAAGGGTGCTGACCGGCGTGGTGAAGTACGCTCAAAACAACCCTGATGCCCGACACGTCATGGGGGGGGGGGGGGGGCATGAATCCAGCAGTGGATTGGCAATGATAATGCATCATTATTATTATTACTACAATTCAACATTTAACCTGCTCTGGTACAAGACCGGGAAGGAGGGTAAAAACGTAGAGGAGGAGTGGTGGTGCAGGAAGGGGGAAGAGGTGGAGGAGGTGGGGGGAGGAGGGGAGGGGGGTGACCGGGCTAAGATCTTAGGGATGATGAGTGGGTGGTGATGATGATGAAAGGATGGTGGTGATGATGATGAGATGGTGATGATGCTGATGAGAGGGTGATTGTAGGGTGATGATGATTATCAGAGTGTGATGGTGGTGGTAGTGGTGGTGGTGATGAGAAAGTGATGATGATGGGATAGTGATGATGAGAGGGTGATGGTGATGATGAGAGGGTGATGATGATGATGAGAGGGTGATGGTGATGATGATGAGAGGGTGATGGTGATGATGATGAGAGGGTGATGGTGATGATGAGAGGGTGATAGGTAATGATGAGAGGGTGATGGTGATGATGAGAGGGTGATGGTGATGATGAGAGGGTGATGGTGATGATGAGAGGGTGATGGTGATGATGATGATGAGAGGGTGATGGTAAAGAGATGGTGATGATGAGAAGGTGATAATGATGATGAGAAGGGGATAATGATGATGAGAGGGTGATGGTGATGAGAGAGTGATGGTGATGAGATGATGATGATGAGAGGGTGATGGTGGTGGTAGTGGTGGTGGTGGTGATTATAGGGTGATGATGATTATGAGATTGTGATGGTGGTGATGATGATGAGAGGGTGATGATGATGAGATGGTGATGATGAGAGGGTGATGATGATGATGATGATGAGAAGGTGATGATGAGAGGGTGATGATGATGAGAGAGTGATGGTGATGATGGTGATGATGAGAGAGTGATGGTGATAATGGTGATGATGAAAGGGTGATGATGATGAGGATGATGAGAGGGGAGGGAGGAAGGAGCGAGCAGCAGCAGCGAGCTTCACGGAGGAGCAGCGTCTGTTGTCACAGTGGGCGGGGTTGTGGTTGGGGTTGAGGGGAGGGGTTCAGAGTGGTGGGGGGGCACGCACAGAAGTCACGTGGTGTACGGGAGGCTTGAACTGATTTAGACAGAGAGAGAAATTAGGACATGGACGCTGCCACAGCGGTTTAAACTTTAAACTATTTTAAATGTACCAGGTGTAAGGCCCACTGAGCGATGTAGCTCTTTTTAAGAAGTGAACATGGCTATCACAAATGATAACTCAACGAAGTGGATTATCATCATCATCATCATCACGTGGATATTTATCGCAGCAGCCAAAGAGTCTACACGCCT